GGGCAACTATATTCACAAATAATATGTTTTATGTCTTATATATGTTTGATGTGTTTCCTGTAATCGGTGCAAGTTTAAGCAATGTTTAACTTTTCCTTTTAGTAGATAAGATTATTAATGTGTATGCAAACTACCTGTTATTTGATGTTGAACGAAAGCTTGTTTTATTCCCACAACATTGAAATGAGTGAAAAGCTGTTATTTTGAACAGTGTGTGTTGTATGCCACTTTATAGAAGTATTAACAAAATCTTTGCAGAGACATTTCCCCCACGTGATGTCTTGAACAGCATGTTAATTTATGCATGAGAAGGGAACCACACAGGCCATGGCTAAGCCTTGCAACAAGTCGATTGGAAGATCGCGTCGTGGGGCGGACCAAAATCAGCCTGCTCAAAAATGGACACAAAGCCCTCGTGGCTTGCTCGCTCTCTCTCTCTCTCTCTAAACCTTTGGCTCTTCGCCCTGGTGACCGCGCTACAAAGCGCACACCCGCTGCACCATCAAGCGATCGGGTCATCCAGAACTCAAACACTTCAGTTGAAACTTCGTGACTGCCAGAGATCTTCAAAAGCCTAAAGTCTTACAAACTCAGACTCTTTCAGAAGAACTGCCAAAGCCTCTGCGTCACCAGGAAACCCCATTCATCAGGAGGGCATCCCCAGAAACTACGTCATCCAGACGCCAGATCAGCAACCAATCAAATACGCAGGGATGCCCTCAAGCAGCCAACAAGCTCAATTCAGCTGTCAGCAAAACGCAAGTAACAAACAAAGTCTTCTATCTGCTGAAATCGGTGCTGAATTAATTAAGCAGCAAACATAAGCTAAGAACTCAGAACTCCGTTAAAATCCTCATCCTTTCAACCGTATGTGTGTGTGTGTATGTGTGTGTGTGTTTTCATTAGTTTAGTTTAATGTAATCTAGAATAGCCAATAAACTGTTGTTTCATTATAAGAATTATTGTCTTGTGTCGTGAAATTTTTAAAGTTAAACCCTGCCCAGATCTTAGTTACTTACCTAGC